CGAGCATAATACGCGGCGATGGATCGGCATTTTGTTGATTTTTTTGCAGGTTATCAAATTTTTATTAAGTGTTAGTTCCGCATTTGCTTATGACGCTTATATTGATCTAGTAATCTTTATTAGTTTCACCTCGAAAAAAAGCAAGTTCTGCATTTTGTTTCTTCTAAAGATGTTGGATTCCGATTCATTTGAGCGTAGGAAACTCAGTACTTAGTTTAAAATGTGCAATATTTTAAAAAATCGTTAAAGCCCCAGCTTATAAAGTACACAGCTTATAAAGATCAAGGCTAAAGATGGGCACCTATTTTATTCAGAAGCAGGCAGAAGCCACTGAATTTCACAGGCTAAGACTGTGTGGTGAAACACTGTCACACAAACTTTTGCTTTCAGTGAAAAAATTATGGTATTGCAGTGGTGAAAGAAGATCACTTCCTCTGTTTTGTTCCTTAATCTTAATACTGTTTCCGGACAAAATAGGGTAAACGCTGCCCAACTTTGTTTTTTTCCCAATATCATAATTTCAATTTTCAGTGGCTTCTTGTAGCGCCGTTTTTGTACTATCAGCAGCTGCAGCGGGAGCAACAGCATGGTTCTATTGCTTATCCTTATTGCTCTTATTGGTTATTCAATGCAAAGACCACAATGAGCATTTATTTCGCGCTTATCGTATTTCAGTCTTGCTCATTTACTGTTATCATTGTATTATGGACACACAACAATAAAAAAGTTGTAAGATTAAATTCATATTTTGTCCGTATATGGGAAATAGCCAAGAAATTTTTCGCTAAGAATTTCTTCAAATGAATTAGTGAAAAGGAGGTTCTGAATGTCAAAACGCATAATGCGCTTTAGTATGTCAAAACAGATAATGTGGGTCCTGTATGCGTGCATTTGTATGTGGTGTCCATTTGCCCATCTATTTGGACATATATTTCAAGTTTAAAAAGTTGGGAAACTTAAAATATCCTCGACCATCTTAGAAAGCATCGAGTGTCGAGTGACTTCATGTCCTCATCTTTAAATTTGGATAAAGGTTTGGGTATACTTGAGAAGCCATAAGCCGAAGAAAATTTATGACCGAGGTTAGGATGAAAAAGGCTCCGAAAGCGCACGAGGCAAAAGGACTAAACGATAACCTTTGACTTCCCTCTCCTCTTCTCCTTGACTTTTGATCATATTTAGGTAAATGCCATTATTTCTGAATATATATACATGCATAGCGATGAGGCGGCTCAAAAATTACAACTAGGATACTGAGGTTTGCAGGACCATCAGCGGTCATGGCTTGCTAAGAAAAATGAGATCAGATTTCGTGCCGTCTTTCAGCCTGACGCAACGACTGCTAGGATTTAGGCCTGCGAGTTTGTTAGCATTTCAGCGCAGCCTTCAGCCCTGTGGATTGTTCCCTTTTCCGATGGACGGTTAGAAATAACGGTTGACGTTCTGGTTTCTTGCTATGAATCGGTACCGGCTTTCTGTCGAAACAAGTTGAAATCGGTTGGCTTTTCACTGGCAAGTTATGTTTAAAAGAAGCGGTATTGCCATTAAAAATAAATGGCCAACGCACGGGCTGCCCGTGCGAAGATGCGTTTTTTGCAGAGTTCCCGCAGTTTT